TAGAGCTCCGAGGATTTTTCGAAACCACTCATAGACGTCTTATCAGAATGAATTTGGAGTTGTGACCAGAATATGGACCCTAAGGCTACAGGATGGTCCACTAGAAGTTCCGGAACATCCGTAAAAGTGGTCAATGCATAAAACTGATCCTAGAGCTACGCGGTTTTTTCAGAACCACTCATAGACGTCAATCCGGAGTTGTGCTCGGAATAAAGACTCTGGAGACTACGGGATGGTCCACCGGAAGATCCGGAACATTCGTAAAATAGGTCAATTAATGAAACTGTTCCTAGAGCTCCGGTAGAGGTTTTTTCGAAACCACTCATAAACGTCTTATCAGGGTTGATGCATATATTATGTCACGCTCTAGGGAGGGGGGAGGGGTTGGTGTCTAAGATTTTGTGTCAAGCAATGCATTAGGTATAGGCAAAACATCACGATAGGGGCTGGGTAAATTTCTCCTCAATTTAGCGTGACATAATTAATGCATGGGCCCTCAGAATGTATTCAGAGTTGTGACCGGAATGTGGACCCTGGGGACTAGAGGATGGTTCATCGGAAGATCGGAAACATCCGTAAAAGTGGCCAATTCATGAAACTGATCCTAGAGCTCCGCGGGTTTTTAGAAACCACTCATAGACACCTTATCAGTTGAGTTCAGAATATGGACTCTGGAGACTACGGGATGGTCCACCGGAAGATCTATAACATCCTTAAAAGTGCTCATTTCATGAAACTGATCTTAGGGCTCCACGGTTTTTTAGAAACCACTCATAGACGTCTTATCAGAATGAATTCGGAGGTTTGACCAGACATTTTATACACGGAATAGTCCACTAAAATGTCCGGAACATCCGTAAAAGTGGTCCATTAATTAAATTGATCCTAGAGCTGCGTGGTTTTTTAGCAACTACTCATGGACATCTTACCAGAACTTTCAGAGACAAAACAAGCCCAGGGCTGAAAATCTCCTAAAAAAATCTTTAGATATATAAAAAAAAATCTTATCAGCATGAATTCGGAGTTGAGTTCAGAATATGGACTCTGGAGACTACGGGTTGGCCCATCGGAAGATCCTGAACATCCCTAACATCATGAAATTGATCCTTGAGCTCCACGGTTTTTTAGAAAGCACTCATAGACATCTTATCACAATCAAATCTGAGTTTTGACCAGGCAGTTTCTACTGGGGACCACGGGATGGTCCAATAAAAGATCCGGAAGACCATTGAAGTGATTAATTCATGAAACTGATCCTAGAGCTCCACGGTTGTTTTTTTTTTTTCAAAACAAATTTTAATAATAACTCAATAAGACGATGTTTTCAAATGGCTTATTGATTAAATTTTGATGTGATGAATTAAAAATATAAACATTGAAGCTAGTCCCTCGTTAACTTGTAATTCCAAAGAAACATCTCCAAGAAGTCAAGGGAAATAAGTCCATGAAATCCAAGGAATAATATTCAACAATTCCGTTAAAAGTGTCTAGAAATTATTAAATACTTAAATACCACCTACACACTTAAATATTTTCGCCGAGATTCCAACATCAGAGATATCAGCAAAAGTAAATGCCGAGGTAATCGGCTGTTGGAGATTTTACCGAGCTAGATTAAGTGTGTAGAAATCATCCATGATAATAAATAATTTAAATGCCCAACAAACAATTTGAGCTGATTAAAAGCTGAATAAGCCAGAGCTTCAGCTAGAAGCTCACTTTTGTCTGAATAAGCTCTTATACAACTGTCAATGTTTGTTGGGTGTGCCTATGAGCAGTTCTAAAAAACCACATAGTGCTTAGATTAGTTTTCTTGACCTATCCACTTTAACGGATGTTCCGGATATTCCAGAGGACCATCCAATAGACCTTGTGGTCCATTTTCCAGTCACAATTCCGAGTTCATTCTGATGAGTTGTCTATTATTTTCCAGAGGAGCGTTCATGGCCTCCAGGGTCTATTTTCCGATCATAACTCCGAATTCATAATTATAAGACGTCTATGAGAGTTTACGAAAGAAAACGGAGTTCTTGGATCAGTTCCATGAATTGAGCCTTTTTACTGATGTTTCGGATTTTTCGGAGGACAAAATTTTTGCGCCCAAACCGTCAGTTTTAGATATATAGTGTCTTCGGGAAAGTTTCTTCGTATTTTTTAGGCGATTTGAAATTATGGTGGTCCTTAAAATTGGTGAATGTGAATGGCCGATCTTTTTATGTTAGTGAAATTAGGGTGGTCCACAAAATTGGAGATTTGAAAATACAAACTTTTTTTATTATTATTTAAGATATACCAATGCTATGTTCTGAAAGTTGTAGAACATTCAATTCGAAGCAATTTTGCTCAAGACACCAAATTTCTATCTCTTATGATTTTTTTAAACAAGCAGGTGAGAATCCCAAGTAACAATTCAAGCTGAATTGTAAAAACAAAGGTTGATTATTGGTTGATTTAAGGTGTACGAAGCTGATTAACACCAGGCTGAATATACAATTGATTAGTAGTGCATGAAGCGAATTGTATCCCCATAATTCAACCTCAGTAAGTTAGCTGATATAAAGACTGAACAAGACTTATTTAAGCTTAATACTTCTCCACAAACCAGCAATGCGCTACAAATATTCCGATAGCCTGATAGAATAATATGAATTTATAGCACAATATTGTTAAATGTCGTCAGTCTCACTTGTTGCATTGCCGACATTTTAGTTATTCTAAATTCACTGCCTACCTTTCTAATACCAAGCAGCACCAGCAGTAGAGAAGCTGAAGCTGAAAAGGAAGAGGAGCTTTTCAAGAATAGTTCCACCTAGAAGTGGACTGCGACGACGTCGGAAGTATTAACATTAGTATTCCTGTGTTTTGTCTGTTCACCACTTTATATTGCACTTAATTTTCGTACCGCATTTTAAAAATAGAATCCAATAATAGCACTAAAATAGCATCGAAATACATCGCGCACTTGTGTCCACATTGTGTTTACTGCACTTGAAATGAGAGGAATGTTTTACTGTCACAATTTATTGTTTATAATTCGGCATTGCTGTTTAATACTCTTCCGGTTGCTATTATTCAACTTAATTTTGACGTGCTTCATGTTAATGATCATACCTTCTGCCTCAAATATGCTTATGTGATCGAGTGGGTATAGTTGACGCCTGTGAATCAACGACTGCCGGTTCGAATCCCGAAATGTAAAGGTAATTTTTAGACATATAATAACAATATAAATATGTAAATCCAATTAGTCAGCAACATTCTAAAGCAGTCTCATAAAAGAATATAAGATATGAAGCGGTCTTCCATTATATTTTTTTAAATAAAAAATTAAGGCTGAACAAGGGTTGGAAAAGACTGTTGGTTAATGCATTGAAAAGCTTAAAATTTAGATTGTTGTTAAGCTTTGGGCTGATTAAAATCACCAGATTTAGATGTTTAAAAGCTGAACAAAGGTTAAAGTGGTCTATGTACAACAATTATTAAAACTAAGCCTGAATTAAAATCGTTGAAAGAACACTTGTTAAGCATCAATTTGTTACCTGGGATGGCCCCTAAAAACAGATTTCTTCGAATATCTTTTCATAAGTTCATTTCTCGTAAAAACCTTGTTTTGGTTACATTTAGAACTTATGATGACGCATATTTTTGCTGAAGCAACCAGGCTGCTATCTTTTTTATTATTAGAAAATTAATCGAAAACAAACAGGCTACCGACAATAGTCACTCTCACCTGAGAAAATTGCTGTTGCAACACTGTGTTCCATAAATTTTAGAGAATGGTACCAACTTTAGCATGTACCAATTTTGGCCCATGAGATTTAAATGGCCTACGGCCATATAACTGCCACAACTCGTATCTACATGGAAAAGTGCTTTAAATGGCACTCTGTGTCATAACTGGAAAATTTACCCACATTGATCTTTACTGTGTGGTCATTCTCTCGGACTAAGCATCATCAAGTCTTCTATATAGTAATTACCAGATTTTGTCAGCCCTTTTTTTTAAAATCTTTTCTAATAATCTACGAGGCCCATGCGCTTTTTCAGTGATCTTATTGCATCAAAGTATATTATAAACACAGACAAACAGACATAACACATTGAATATTTCTCACTGTAAAACATCGTCGCTAAAACATTACCGCCATCTGTTGAGTACACTGTGGTGGGTAGTACGCTGACCAGATGGCGGTAGTATGAAAACGTCAAACGCAAGGGAATTGACTATGCGCGCCACTGATGGCGGTACTACCAACTAAGATACTTTTAAATTGACCGTTAAATGCTTGTTCGATGAACAACTTGCCAGATTTATGTCTGCTTGTCTGTGTTATAAACATCCATCTTGATGATGCATGAGAAATATTTGGAATTACGGTTATGTGAAATTATTGAAAGACAAAAGTCTGATGTGTCCCCTCCGGCTTGCAATATCGGGTCATAACTGTACTGATATTCCTTGGATCATACAATCATTAGATGCATCAATTCAGTACAATGAATAAGAAATGTTGGTCTTCACCAAAGGTGAATCAATTCAGTGTATGTCACCGGTACGTCGAAAATGCACCGATGCACTCAATAGTAGAAATGCAAATTCCGATGCCGAGTCGAATGGCAGTCCGTACCGAAATATATGGATATTGAATAGCTTTCATTCGAAACAATCAACAGTAAATCAGCTGACTCTCTTCCACAGCCGCAATCGCCAGTCAATCGGCGCTCGCATGTGCCGGGATAGGTGTTTCAATTCTTAAGATTGATTGATTTGATGTCTGATGGTCAATAACTTTTCGCACATACCGGGGCCACTTCCAATTTCGTGGCAATCAATTTCGGCAAGATTACCGTTTCGTTTACGATGTGATCGATTACCCATCACAACCACGCTGATACACGATTAGTATTTCCAATTGGTGGAATTTGAAGAGCTTGTTTTGATCAATGGCTACCAATTGTAATGGTTGCTTTTCAGGACGAATGGATTGTTCAATACTTACCCTCATCGTAATCATATTCCGTAACTTTCCGTCGAACTTTTGAACTTCTCGACAAAATTCCTTCTCTCTCAATTCATCGAATGTGCTGTACAGCTCATGGAACGTCAACGATCAAACTGAAAACATTGCCAAAAACTTCTTCACTTGACTTGCTTCCTTTCTTCCGTAAAAACCACAAACAACCGACACTCGCAGTCGACCGCTTGGCATAAACAAATTATCCAACAATGGTCCTATTAAATATTTCAATCACATAATTTCTCCTCCTCCTTTCGCGACTTTTTCCCTTACTCTTACACTTTTATTGGCGCTGCTTCTAATACATAACCCTCCAGCTCGACGCGTGCACACACCGGCCACCTTAACGCTTCAACGAACTTCGATTGACTGATGGTTAATGACTTTCAACTTCTAGTAATATCTGTATTTTTTTTTTTTTTTACACTAAGCCGGTTGATGAGCGTGTTTGAGAAGTTTGCGAAGGAGAGAAAGAGAAAACAACCACCCACCCACGGATGAACCCTAAAATTGGCAACCTACCTGTCCCCACCGGCAGTGCATCATTAAACAGTGCGATAAGGAAGATCAACTCAAACTCACTAATACCCGCGACCTAAGAATCTGGAGGCATCGGGGTAAACTTGACGCATATCATAAATACATTGTTTGATAACACCCTCATCACTCAAATTCAAGAGGCACCTAAAGTCTTAAAGTAGTGGCTGCTTTTCGTACATCTTTATAAGTAGCTATCACTTAAAACCGGTACTTAGAACGATAAGAAAAACAACTTTATGTGCAAAGTGATTGGAACGAACACTGTTCTCGGTAATAATAACAACAATCGATCACAGATCTGCAGATCGCACTGACTGGTGAAATGAACTTCCATGGGAGTTTCCATTTGAGCGCTGGCTTCGTACATTTGTCTGTGGGTTGGTACCTAACTACAAGGTGCGTCATCTTCGGTAAACACCCAATTAAGTAGTAAGTAGCCAATTCTCACTCTAACTCGCTCGCTGCTTGGTGCACCTAAAATTATTGATATGTTCGCTTGGAGATGCAACCGCTTACTGAGCGACTTAGCCGACTAAACTACCAGCAGAGAAGGAGAGCGAATTTGGGCTTAAGCATAGTCGATGAAGTGTTACATGGTGAACAACAACTTGAAATAATCGTGCATACATGAGTGGTACCTAACAACTGTTGTAGGTGTAGTAATGAAAACTTTACGATGTTGGCAAGGTAACGTTTATGAACCGTAAAATCGATACTCGTCACGGGGATTGTAGCGGATATTTCAGTATTCCCCTCTCTTAGCTCAGTCGGTAAAGGCGCAGCTACAAAGCAAGACCATGCTGGAGGTGGCTGGGATCGATTCACGATTCGGTCTAGAATTTTTTTTTTTGGGGTTGGAAAATGTCTTGACTTTCCTGGGTATTGTAGAGTAATAGAGTATGATTGTACTTGCCACACAACTATACTAATGCAAAAATGGTACAAGTATCCGAAAGCTCTCAATTAATAACTGTGGAAGTGCATCTAGAAGACTGAAATGCGAAGAAGAAAAAGATTGTCAATTATGAATACTACACTCATAATTACAATAGTTGGCGAGTGATCTTAGAACCGATTAAAAAAAATTATCGTTCACCACGGACTAAATGGCGCGCTGGGTAGAAAAAATAGTAAATTAGTGTACCGTGCGTTTTTCATGGACTTCTTTTTGTAAGCAACTTAAGAAATGGACAGTGAATAGCTTCACATTAAAAATTATCCGAAAAAGATTGACTAACAGTGTAAAAAAGTCATGCATCACTTTTATTATACATACCATTATATATTATACATTCATATATTAACGGTTTATTTGAAATACATACACATGCCTGCCTGGAAATACTTAATTATTCTAAAAATACCATCAATCTTGTCAACTTCCAGCTGAACATAAAAAAGTCATCCATCCCGATAATCACAGCCGACAATGCTCGACATGCAACACCGGAAGATCCTTCATGATTTCGATCGATTCGCGAATGACCTCTCCCTCCCCATGGACGTACGCGGGATTAACCAAACCGAACGCTCCACCGGGCAGAGACGATTTTCTAACCGAACCAAATCTTCCCCGCAGAACCGGTGATTCCAGCTCGGGCACTCGCGGGACACTGACAGGCGCTCCGTTCATAATGCTATCACCACCATCCGGCAGCTGTTTGTACTTGTCTTGCAGCCGTGCTTCTTCGGCCAACTCCATGGCTTCCCGCTTATGAACACTGTACATCCAGCTGAAAAGAAATGAAGTTCATTGAATTTACCGAATCATATTACACGGCCAATGAGAACGACCCAAATTTGAGTTTAGTTTATTTCATAATCGCGATGAGTAAATTTGCCTCAAAAATCTGCCGGAAAATTGACGAAAATTTTACTCAGTCTAGGAGTAGGATCAATAGACTGAGTGAATACAATCTTTACTTTTCTCATATTCGGGATTTTTTTCCGGAACAAACCTGAAAAACATGAGGCAAATTTACTCATCCCTGAATTCTTGCACTTTATGATTTATGAATAAACTAATAACAAAATTTGGGTCGTTCACATTGGCCGTGCAGAAGAAGTTCGATCAAGTGAGCTTACAGGAAAATAAGAACAGCTGGTGACGTCAGAGCACCACCCAGCAGAAAGAACGCGCCCGGCAGCACGTCGATCGTCGCTGCATACACGGTAGTATACATCGGGGCGTACACCAGTGGCATCAACGCTTCGGCTACACCGAACAGAGAATTCACCTTACCGAGCTCGTTGCTCGCTACCAGCTTGGTAGCGATCGAACGCATCGATATGAAAGAGGTGCCGTTGAGCATTTCCACGAAGGGCGCTGCAATAGTTCAACCAAATATAGTACTTCCACATAAAATTCCACCTGTGCAGCTACTGTCATACCGAGATACAGTTGCCACGGGGTCACTGCGAATGCGTACACGAAGCTGGACAAGATCTTCGACATACAGGACATCACACCAATGAGAGCGTCGTCTATCTTCAGCAGATGTGAGAATACACCGACCGAGAAGACTGTCCCGATCAGGCCCGTCAACATGCCGTAGCTGGAGAAGAAGCTGAATTCCACCTCACTCCAGTTGAAGCGGTATCGCGTGAACAAATAGATGACTGACATTTCACCTGAAAACAAGCACAACAACGCAAATCAAGTTCACCAATCTTGGCCTAATTCTAGCAAACGAGTCATTCCCGAGTACGCTCATTAGCTTAGATTGAAGCTAATAACTTGGCTCGGGGCGGATTGTAATAAATTTAAACTTCCATGCACGCGCAAAATGAAACTCACCATGCAGCGGACCGATGACGACCATAACCACTATCATCAGCATTATCACCCGGAGGCGGCGTTGGCGTTCGCCCTTCTTGAATGCCACCCGGAAGGTTTCCATCACGTGTTCCTTGTCGAAGAAATCCAGCAGCATGTTCTTCTCTTTGGCTTTCAGCCGTTGCTTCTCAGTGATGATGTCCACCTCCGGCAGGAAGAAAACCCCGTAGAAGAACGCTATCAGGTACAGGACGGCCGAGATGGAGAAGATGCCGTAGAAGCCAATTTTCCTGCGGGAAGTGGGAAATGGAAGGGAGTCCATTTAATGTACGTTCAGATATGTACAGGATTTGTAATAAATCACCGAATATACGGATTCTGTAATGTGATCGTCGGAGGGGTTTTTTAAATGTTTATATTTAATTTCTTTTGGACAATGTTCCGAGCAAAGCTAGTTTTTCTTGATACACACACTCAGAGTTTGCTTTTCCCGATGCATTGCAAAATTATCATTCTGGAAAAAGTTACAGTCTGCTGTAAGTAAGGTCTGTGTCCACATTAAACTAAAGCCCTACTATAGGGCTTTACATTGAACCGGACACCTTCAAATCAGAGTCGATGTTATAATAAGAGTCCCGCCAAGAGAAAATGTTGCGAACAAGCAGCACTGTTTGTGATTTATGTTTCGTCATAGTAAACGGCAACCATATTTGTTTGCGTTAGCATCGGATGACTTTCATTGAGAGGTGAAAAATTTCATGTCGATAACGGAGCTTCTGGGAGACAAAAACGATTATAGAACCTGAAAAATGTTCAAATAAGTGCTTGGTATAACTTATAAATACCACAATGTACTAAATAAAGCGAGGAAATGTTTTTCATCTAAAATTACTAAAATATTGTCAGTAATGAATGCAATACTTGTAGTTCACTGGCTGTGGGAACAATAATGTTTATTTACTTTGCTTGTTTGGTACCCCGCTTGACAGTTTGATTGGTACTTCTGGCTTCACTCTTGGCGGGACTCTTATTATAACATCGATTTGCTTCAAATCACTGTTACTTTTGAAATATTGCACGTAGGAGTGAAAAATTTCGCTGAGGTATAGCTGGGTGTCATTGATAAAAAAGACTATGATTGGTGTTTACATTTTTCCATGTAAAAAAACACGTGCGCGAGCGGATTTTGTACGGAGTAAATCCTGACTTGTCAATACGGGATGCTGCAAAAAAATGGATTTACCAAAATTAACTGACCGAAAGGTGAAGATGATATTGAAGGAAACCCCGAATCACTCTGTTCGAACGGTGGCTCGTAAAAAAGGAATGTCACCTGTTTTTGTCCAATGCATTGTTATGGCCGATAAAACTTATGTCCTGGAGGATTTCAAGCAGCTTCCAGAGCTGGCTTTCTATTCTACTGTGGCAAAAAATGCTACAGCTGAGTATTTCAGGACGAAGAAGGGATCTAAATTTCTCAAAAAATACCTTAATTAGCAAGCAATTTACACGTGTGACCGAAAGAGTAAATCTTTCGTCACTACAGGTATAATCAAAATAGATTTACCAGAAAGAGGGCCTGCAGAAGCGATTCCCGCATAAACGCGAACCATAACTTGACCTTACCGAAAATGGTTAACAATTGTTGTAATCCCTGCTAAACTTTAACTGAAACGGTTATGGAACTTTACATGAACGTTTATGTGATAAAGTTTTAACCTTATGTATTATGGATTTTTGGAAGTGAACCTTACAAATAATGGGTTGTTAAGAACCATTACCATGCAAAATTCTTGTTTTCCCCATAAATTTTTGGAAAGAAAACTATATTAAAACCATTGGCGTAGCTAGACAATTTATCTGGAGGGGGCCTAGATAATTCTGGAGGAGGCCTGGCACCCCCATTAGCTACGCCAATGATTAGAACACTCAATTCTGAATTTACCCGAATATCATTTTTTTTGCCCTGATGCAGGATGGGTTCAGCATTTTTAACAACATCATATTTTTCATAAATTTTTTGAAATAAGTTTAATTAAATTTGGATGCAACTTGAGATTATACGATCAAAAATAGAGGCGATAAAATGGTGTAAAAACAGAATTTCCCATAAGAAACTTATAATTAAGTATGTATATGTAAGTGAAGATGCACGAAGTCCAAACTTAAATTTGATATAAATAATATTTTCTATAACAGAAACAATGGCACTTTTTGTTTCACACCATAGAATCTATTGCCTTGTTCAGACTGGAGAACTATAACATGTTATAACGGTTGTCAAATAATTGCAACACAGAAACCACCATCAAGATAGCGCTATAACATGTTATAACTCTGTAGTCTGAACGTACTATATGCTGCATGGGATTGGTTATCACTTATCCTAAGGACAGTTTCATAGCACCCACCACAGAATAATATTGCTAGAAATATCAATCAGAACTTACAGCAAAAATCAAACATGAAAAGGTTAATTAAAGTGTGTTCCATATCAAATTGCATGACGGAAAAACCGCTGTAGAAAATTACCTAGCTGGCCGATCCTTTTCAAACTTTCAGACAATAAATTATAACCAATTAGTAAGCTTTTGACATACTTATTTCATTCAACTTTAATACAATAACCATAGGCTCGCACCTTACGCTTAACTCCACTCATTAGGTTCTGTACAACACCTGGCCGCAGCTTCATCCGTACGGAAACCCACTTTTTCTTCATGTCTTCCTCAGATTTGACCTCCTTGGGATGCTTCCGTAGTGCATGCTTCATAATTTTAATTTTCAGTATTTTTCGATAGGCCTTAGAACGAAAGTGACCCCGTTGGCTTCGTACCACTCCAGGACAACATTTGAATATGGGTACGAAGCTAGATCCAGTCAGAAGATCGTCCCTCCCGGTCCTTGGCTCTCTGAACGAAAGACTTGGACAGATTCAACTTTTAAGCCACATCCCTGACCGAAGCATTGGGATTCCACTTAAACGCTTTCACGGCACGCTTGTGATCCTGATCACTAATAAAACATCCATTCTGACCGCATTTCTCCTTCCGCTTTTCGTGTGACGCCATTTTTTCCAACTTTTGAAAAACTGACAGCGATAAAAATACAATGTTAACAATACACTCTTAACTACTTCTACCCAAATTTTCAAGAGAAAATACTCACTGGGTAATTTTCTACAGCGTTTTTTCCGTGATGCAATTTGATGTGGGACACCCTTTAGATAAGATTGATATCAAGAGCAAATTTTCATTACGTCGAAAGTAACAAAGGTAAACAAAGTTGAGCTATCAGTGGCAATCGATGCTCATGCTATTACACTATATACTGTCCGAATATAGGATTACATCCCATTTTCAAATTTATTTACCAGTTAAATTGTTTTTTGACGTAATCAGCTTCCGATCAAAATATTTTTCGATGTTACTTAAGTCACCCTATGAAGATGCCATTTGCCAACAGCGCAGAGAAACCCGTGTAAAGTATACGTTTGTCGTCTCACTTTCTCATTATTAAAGTTAATTAATCGAACTGTTTGTTGCTAAGATGATTTCGGTGGTCCTAAAATGATGAATGGGCTGCACGTGAGGAGACGTGATTGATAATTCTCCCAAATATCCTGGTAAATAAACTTTGATTCAAAAACCAGTATTTTTTAGCATGAAAGCTAGCGATCTGCTTTGTATGATTAAAACCCTGCTTAATATATTAAACATTGCTATCACTATGAGATTATATGTGTTTAATTGGAAATAGGAATAACTTTTCGGTCATTAAAACAAAACTGCGGTGCGAATGTTACTTTCGACATAATGAAAATTTGCTCTTGATATCATTTAATTTTTATCTCCATTTTATCCACGGCAAGCAGCATATGTTTACTCAAATTGTGCTATTTCACCAGGCAGTTGACCAGTTTCTTTTCCTTTATTTATAAAGAAATCAATCAATCAACGTCGATCTCTGTTCCGCAATCTAGTGCCAATCACCGACGGACATCGATTGCCATCCATTGATGGTAATCGAATGTGCAGGAAGGCAGGTTCCACACCTGCGTAGGATATCGCACCCATTCAATTCAATACACATGGGCCGGGACTATAAAAACATAGGCTACTCAGCGCTGAGTGACCTACGTTTTTAGAAATTTCTCATACAATTGAGCAACAGTGATTCTCTTGCTCTGAGATGGTCTCGTCGCCCGTGTACCAAATTTGCTTCAACATGACAAATGTGACTTAAAAACTGGTAAACGCTACTTTAAATTTAGTAATATCTTAACTCAATTTTGAGTCAGTTCATATTTTAGGCGGAAAGCTAAAATAAGTTCATCTTTTCGAAATATATGGGTAGTGGTGGATGACAACTCAATACTTATACTGAACTGAAGGATTTTATTCTGTTCACACGGGACTTATTCCAAAATGAGTAAATGGCACAAAACATTGAGTAAACGTAACTCACAATTGAGTAAATTGAATCCAAAATTTAGATATTTTTATTTGAGAAAATCCAGCCTCTTGTCCTGTGACTCCAATCCCTACTAAAATCCTCTAAAAGGTGCTACGAGCAAAATTTGGTCATACAAGAATACGCGTAAATTGATTAAATTTTTATAAAAAAAAATATTTTTCTTTTTTAAGTTCCATAAGTATAAAATACAGACAACATATTCCGCTAAGCTTCCGGTTGACCGAATCCGAATTGCCGGGCCTTTAGTTTAACTCCTACCATCAGATTCTGTACAGCCACCTTGTCCATTTTGTTCGCCGCAGAACGCCATAAACTGCTTCTCGCTTCCAACAGATTTTTTAGTCTTCTTCAGGTTCCGCTTGACGATGGTCCAATGTTTTTCGATTGGGCGGAGTTCTGGCGTATTGGGAGGGTTCTTGTGCTTGGGCACCACCTGCACGTTGTTGGTGATATACCACGCCATGGCCTTTATTCCGTAATTGCAGGATACCAAGTCCAGCCAAAACAGCACGGAACAATCCCGGTTGCAATGAAAATATCACTTTTCAAGCAATAGGTGCAGATAATCTGTCAAACCAGATGTTTCATAGCGAACTTCAACAGTTTCATATGCTAGCTGAGAATTTTTTTTTTTTTTTATCTTTATTAAGGAGACTTTCAGCCGTTGGCTGGCTCGTCTCCGACCTGACTGAGAATTTTGCATTCTTGGCAGTTTTTATAACTTGCTTTCTATTCTTCATTGCCTTAAATTCAAACTCTCCTCAAAATTCACGCATGCATTGCAGAAGTGCCAAACCTGTTTTTGAAATATTAT